TATTTGAAATGCATTATTGTATATACAAAAATTACTAAACCTAGTGCTATCTGGAAGACTAAAATACAATATAATTCTAATTTAGCACAGACAACAAAAAGCTCTAAAGCAGATATGTAAATCAAGCAGTGTCAGACTACAGGAGAAAAGAGAAATTTTATCTGACCAGGGACAAACAGAAACTTAAAAATACAAATATCAGAGCCAGGCATGGTGGCTGTGCCTATAATTCCAGCTACTCAGGAGGCTGAGGCAGGAAGATCACTTGAGGCCAGGAGTTCAAGACCAGCCTGGGCAATATAGTGAGACCTCCTTTCTAAAAAAGATTTTTAAAAATACAAGCCAGTAATGGTGGCCCATGCCTGTAATCCCAGCTACTGCAGGAGGCTGAGGCAGGAGAATCACTTGAGTCTGGAAGTTTGAGGCTGAAGTGAGCTATGATCACACCACTGCACTAGCCTGACTGGCAGACTGCAACTGTCTAAAAGCAAAAACGAAAATATAAATGTCATGTCTTTTTACACAAATATCATGTCTTCTGCTTTATTATTTATTCATTTACTCATACAGTTAGCACATGTTTATTGGGTATCCATTTTGTGCGAGGTAGTATGCGAGAAACAGATTTATGTGGTAGTAAAAATGTCTAAGTAGTGTACATTATGTAGGCATTCTATAGATAAAGTATGTCAACTTAATAAGACAATGTAGGCAAATGATTTCCTATTTTATGAGCTACATGGATTATTAGATTGTTTGGCCTGTAACTATATAACAGCATAAGAACTTTTCAGTAACAGCATTTGGTTTAGTGTTTCCCACTCCAAAGCAGTATTTCCCATAGTAGTTTTATATGAGGTATAGTTTTGCCATCATTTTGTAAACACAGAAATAAACTTTGACCTGAAGCATTTGTGGTCATGAACTTTTTCTTCTTCATCCAAAACTATTCCTTACGTATGCACCTTCAGTTATGGCTCTTAAGAATGCAGGCTTTGGAGTCAGGTAGACTTGAGTTAGAATCATGGCTTCAGCACCTTGGGCAAGATGCCCTCTGTAGGCCTCAGATTGATGATGTGTAATATAGCTGCCTCACAGTATCTGAGAAGTGAGAGGAGACGATGCAGGTGGAGAGCTTGGCATATGGTACTCGGGAAAAGCAAGCTTCCATACTGATGGTGGTAGTTGTGGCACTGGCGGCTGGCCCACGTCTGATAACTGCTAAAAAGTATTTATCTTGGCCTGGCACAGTGACTCACACCTGTAATCCCAGCACTTTGGGAGGCCAAGGTAGGCGGATCACGAGGTCAGGAGATCCTGGCTAACATGGTGAAACCCCGTCTCTACTAAAAATACAAAAAATTAGTCAAATTGGCCAGGCGTGGTGACACATGCCTGTAATCCCAGCTAGTCAGGAGGCTGAGGCAGGAGAATCGCTTGAACCCGGGAGGTGGACGTTGCAATGAGCCGAGATCATGCCACGGCACTCCAGCCTGGGTGACACAGCGAGTCTCCATCTCAAAAAAAATAAAAAGTAAAAATAAATAAATAAATAAATAGAGTATTTATCCTTATTCTAGTAGGAACCTCACTGTTTATTACTCTGGCTGTCTTTTCAGATGTCGAATAAGGAGTTGTTTCCACCAAGTCCTTCTGAAATGGG